AGCTGCACCTGTCACGCTTAGTTACTCCAAAATTCTGCAGCATGTCTTTAAACTGGCACATGTCATAACACACAGGTACGAGAAGCAAATTACACCTATTTTGTCCTCATTTCTCAGGCTCCTCGTTCATTTTAGAGTTGAGTTTAAAATGTTATTGTTTGTTTTAAAGAACTTCACTGACTGGCCCCAACGCACATTTCAGACCTCACTGTTCCTACACTTCTTTGATCGCTTTGAGGTCTGAGGGCCAATTTTTCATCCCACAGATAAGACTCAAAAGCCGGGGTGATCCTAGGGTGACTCTGGGGTGACTGGGCCTTTCCTGTGGTCAGCCCCAAACTTTGAAACACTCTCCCCCCTCACATTAAGAAGTCTCGTTTAAAAACACATTTTTACTCGGTGGCTTTTAACTTTTATTGATTTTATTTCCTATTTTTCTAATTGCTAATTTTCATATTTTTTTATGTTTTTATTGACTTGCTTATTTATTTTATGCTTTATTTTATTTAATGTGCCTACTCTGTGCAGCACTTTGGAGACTTTGGGTTGGTAAAATGTGCTATTCAAATAAAGCTGGATTGGATTGGATTTGATTGAATGCTGTGATTGTGTCCTAGGGAAAGAAAGTTGCACCTTGCCCACCTTGCTCCAAATGTCTGTGTACACTGGTGTGTATGAGTGTGTGTGTATGTGTGTGTGAATGGATGCGTGCCTCCTTGATATAAAGCGGCTTTGAGTGCATTGAAGGTGGAAAATCACTCTATAAAAATGTGACCATTTACCATTTAATTACTGGGGTTAACCTCGTGGAATAAAACTGGCAGAAAGTTTGACATCTCCATCCTTTTTTTTCAATTATTCAGTCATTAAAGGTGCATTGTGTAAATTTTCTGGTAGAGGGTTCATCAAACGCTTTTCTCCATGGAGATGTTCTTGCTTTGTCTGGAATGTTTCACAGTATGACATTAAACTTTTCTATCTTCAGTGTGACCAAACCATGCGCATCTGCGTATTTTTGAGCTATAAAACTACTTGTGACTGAATAAATATGAAATGAAGCTGCTTAATGTCTTAACGTGGAACATTCCAGGTAGAACAATGAAGACGTGATGGTTGTGCCTTGAGATCTGCCTTCGCCGGTCAGATCGCGGAAGCATGGCCTGGTTAGCAGTGTTGGGAAGGTGACTTTTAAAATGTATTCCCCTACAGATTACATACCCCAAAATGTAGTTTGTAACATAATCCATTAAATTATTTAAAGTGAGTAACATAATCTGAATACTTTGGATTACTTGATATTGTCATGCTTTTTAAAATGACATGAATGTAGCAACCACATCCTGAAAATTCTTGTTTGTTTCTTCAAATTGTCTGTTGAGCCCAAGTCTCCATGAACAGACTTTTGTTCACATAAGATGTTTTATCTGCTAAAAAACAATAAAAAGTCCAGTCTTTCCTTAACCACATTAAAAATATTATTGATAGAGAACTGGTTTCTATATGAGATCAATTATGTACACCCTACTGTTAGATGTCATATTGTTTACTCCTGGTTTTAGTTTTAGTTTAGTGCTGGTTTTAGACCCGGATTTAGACCTGGTTTTAGTTCTAGTTAAGTCCTAGTTTAGACCTGGTTAAGTCCTGGTTTAGTTCTGGTTTTAGTCCTGGTTTAGCCCAAAATGTGAAAACAGAAACATACTGCCATGTAATCCATTTATTTCAACAAAGTAACTGTAATCCAATTACCACTCCCTGAAATAGTAACTGTAACTGAATACAGTTACTCATAATTTGTACTCTGATTATGTAACTCCAGTACATGTAATCCGTTACTCCCCAACACTGCTGGTTAGTACTCGGATGAGCGACTGCTTTAGTATACCAGGTGCCACAGTTGGCCAGTGATCATGTTGTTGTTGTTGTAACCTGAGACGTCTTCCATTGTCGTCTTCTAAGTTAGTCCCAGGAGTTTTGCAGCTCCGATGGGGTCTGTCCATAGAGATCCCACTTGGAGACCCAGTGGTGCTCGCTTCGCAGGGCAGGTGAACAGGTGCTGTGGTGTATGAGGTGTTTGGCCACACCCCGGACAGGTGTCAGTGTTGTTAGTGTCAATTTGACTCGGGTACGAGTAGGGCTGGGTATCATTAAGAAGTTGAAGATACGATTCATACTTCGATACATAGGCCACGATACGATACATATCTCGATATCGTGCACTTTCGATTCAGTATAAATAAAGGCTAAATCAAGGCTGTGATTCTAAAAGTCTTTGTTAAACCACATCTCGTGGAAAGTTAAAATGAAACACAAACATTTAAGATCTTTAAAACAGTGAAAATATTAAATGTGTTGCATAAACAAGTTTTCTTCTTACAAACAAGCAACAAACCTGAAGCTCTGTAACAAAATAATTGAGTAAAATAAACCAAAAAACACTCTTGATCATATGTCGATACAGGAGCCTGCCATATCGATACTGTCATCACATTAAGCGATACAATATATCGATATTTGGATATTTTTGCACACTGTATCTTGAGCCCAGCTGAGCCAGACTGCACCTGGTGTCTCTGGGCAGCTGCTGGTCTTCAGTGCTCACTTTTGGGACAGTGTTGAGCCCAGACAGTGGGGGTTTAGGCTGAGGCGGCTTGTGTGGCCATACGTGGGTGTATAAAGTGTAGGTGTCCCCAACGATGGACAGATGCTCAACCCGGAACCGCCTCCCTGGAGCAAGAGCCATCACTTTACTGCAGCCGCAAGACTCATCGCCAGCGGTCATTGTGTCCTTAAACAAATCTTTACCCACATTTCCTAGTATGAAGGTTGCGTGTGCGTGAATGTTGGTGGTGGTTTGTCTGAGCTGCCAGTCTCTTTTACACTCTGTTTGGATCCAGAAGGGACTGGGACAGACCACAGAGCGTGACAAACCTCCGTCCAAACTTAAGATGATCCAACCACAGCTGCTAATTTGTATCACATGTCTCTCAAACACGGAAGACATCTCCTCTCGAAAATCCTCCAGAACATTCAGAACAAACTAACTTCTTTTACCTGAGATAAGTCATAGTTTTATTGATTCTGAGAAAATCCATGCTGTTTCTCAGTCCTTGTTTTGTTTAGTTTAGGTTTTTGAGCACAAAGTCAGCTTTTTCTGGGCAGGCCATGTTAAAACAAAGCTCAGATTTAAGTCTAACAAGCCTCAGACGGAGCAGTGCCTACAGTTAGTATCACACCCACACGAAATGTTAACAACACCAGCTGCGAAGTATCAACAGAGCTACGTATGCCCTTGCCCTCCGTCTGAAATGATGACATCAAACTCTCGAACTCGGCATCATTAGTGAAGCGTGAAGTGGTGTTGTATGAAGTATTATCTGGAAGCATTAGCAGTGCACATGAGCCCTGTCTGCTCCACACTCTCCCCTCCGCAGACGCCTCCTCGTGGGCTGTGCTGAGGCTCAGAGGGCGGGGCTCCAGTCATCCCCACGAGCAGGAATCTGTTTACTTGTGGTGACGCTACAAATAGGACGTCTGCTCATTCCACAAGTCCATGTCAACGTTTCACACGGAGCGCAGGGCAAATTAACTGTGGACGAGGCTCCATGTTGAAGTGGATTACAGGGAGATCCAGACCACAGACTTAAAGAGCCCATATTTTGCTATTTTCTGATCTATTCTGTAATGTTTTTTTCTCATCCATGAGTGTGTTTTGTTTCATTCACACATGTTTAACACACATGTCCTGCGTATTTGAGTTTTGGAGCGGGTCAATCAAACATGTGTGAATGAAACAAAACACAACTCCAGACATGTTTTTAAGGATGGAACATTCTTGGCTCAATTAATTAATGTAATAGTGATCAGTGAATGAGTGTGAGAGTATGAGAGACAGTGTGTGTTGACAGTTCTTCCATTTCTTTGCTGCTCTGTCGCTCAGTCTATCTGTGCTCTGGGCTCTTTAGAAACAAATCCTGAACCAATTCATCTTGTATGGGCCAAAAAGCATCCTCCCCTTTAAGGCGGCCGTTCAACACAAACAGAAGAGTGAGAAGTGTTCTTAAAGAGACCACTACACATGTCGGACCTGCCACATGGAAGTCATTACTCACACAGCAGAGGAGCTTTTTCCATGCACTACTCCCCCGGACTCACTCTGGGACTTTGTCAGAGAGCCCAGCCTAAACCGTGCTCCTCATGTCCCTTTGGGCAGGGGCCAGGGGCCCGTGTGCAGGACCACGGCCAGGGGCCCATGTGCAGGGCAGGGGCCCGTGTGCAGGGCAAGGGCCAGACATGCTCTTTGGATGAAAAGGAACATCCAAACACAAAACTCACTCAGTTGGATGTGATTGTCAGTGTCCTAATGCCTTCTATTGTACAAGTGTGGGTGCTTTGTGCGGACTATTCTCAGCTCTGGGAGCTTGTATAAGAGGCTTTTATAGAGATCTTGTTGTCACACCTCAAAGAATCATCAATTATCTCAATGTTAAACCAATGGTGATTTAACGATGCTCAGTACTAAAGAAATGTCCGTGTAGTGAGCCTGTGCTCATTGTTATCACAGAGAAGACCTTTAACTTTCATGCCTGGTTTGGCTTCATGTGGATTGGTCCAGTAATTACATGTGTCTTTACTGTGAGCAGGCTTGCATCTCCACAAGATGCAGGATCCGCCTCCTGTTTGTTTCCATGGAAATGTTGTTCCTTTGGCTGTAAGATTCCTTAGTATGTCATAAAACGTATCTATCTCCATCTTCCAAAGTTTGGTTTTATCTGTTGATTTCTTTCTTTTCTGTTTCCATCTAATCATGCAGAGATGCATGAGGTGCCACCTCCAGAAAGTTACATGTTGTTGCTTTAACCGTAACCAGGCCAAAACCTGTTCAATGGTATAACAATCGATTTGATGTGGTGCCCCTCACTTTCCCAGCATGTATCCTGTACTTGTTCCTCAAGTATTTGCACTGTTCTCTGGACTTAAACTGTCTCTTGTTTTTTTCTCAGGCTTTTGGAAACGCCAAGACTGCCCACAATAACAACTCAAGTCGCTTCGGCAAGTTCATCCAAGTGAACTACCAGGAGAGCGGCACTGTGCGCGGGTGAGGACCACTCTAAACTCCACTGTGCCCTGTGCTCGTGTGTGTGTGTGTATGCTCACTGTTTGTGTGTGTGTTTTCAGAGCCTATGTGGAGAAGTACCTCCTCGAGAAGTCCAGGCTGGTCTACCAGGAACACAATGAAAGGTGCGTATAGTGCAAAGACAACAAGAACTGCTCTGATTGGAGCTAAAAAGTACATACAGGATGACACAATAGAGCCAATCTGAACTAAAAGAACAGAGTTGTTGAGGGTTGTTTCATGGCTGATGCAGAAATCAATTGTGTGGAACCCAGAAAAAACAGTTGCAGCTCTTTTGGTATTTTTGGGACAAATTTAGAATTCACTACAATCTTGTCCACAAATTTGTTTTACTAGAAACTGGATAAGAGGTAAGTGTAGTCACTTTTTTTGTTTGTTTGTTTTTCCCAGTGTCCTATTCTAGTGTTCAGACGGCTGATATATCGGCCAACCAATATGTCAGTCCAGCTCTCATTCCCAGGACAAGTCAAAATGTATCAGTGTTATTAGGTTGTTTTTTCAGACCAAGTGAGTTTGTTTTTCATACTTGACAGTTTTGACTGCTCCCAGCGCTCTTCCTCACAGTCATGTGATATTGCTGTGACATGTCCGGTCAGCTGATTTATACAGGTTTTTACGCTGTCTTCCTACTGGAGGAGGCTATAAACCTGGATCAGGGGGCTTTTTTACTTTCACACACCTGGGATACTGTCCTGAGGAAGTGGGACTGCAGATGGCGCTGTTTTCCTGCCTCCACCTGTAGGAAGACAGCATCAAAACCTGTTTAAATCAGCTGACTGGACATGTCACAGCAACATCACGTGACTGTGAGGAAGAGCGCAGGGAGCAGAACAAACTGTCAGGTATGAAAACAAACTCTTGGTCTGAAAAAAGAACCTAATAACATAAATTATCGGAGGACCAAATGAACCTCATTGGGCTATAAGGTCAGAATGTATCAATGTCATCAAATGTGTGGGAAAGCATTAGACCCACTCTTAGACCGGCCTTCAATAATGTTGATTATATTTATACACGTGCATTAACAGAGTTACACAGAGCCAGATGTGCCTCACAAAAGAAACAAACATTAAAGCGATGCTCAATTGTTTTGTCATTCTGAGTCTAAATCCTATTGAGTGGTGTGATGTTCTACAGAGTTTCTTATTGTGTGAAAGTGATGCTAATGGCCTGTGATTTAATTCAAAGCTCTTTGTGTGTGTCTGTGTGTGTGTGCACGGCCTGTGTTTGTGTGTGTGTGTGTTTGTGGTAGAGAACAGCCTGAGCTGGAGTCACATATGGCTGTGGAAGTGGCTCTCACACTTATCTGCTCAGTGAACAGTGTGCGCGTGTGTGTGTGCGCGCGTGTGTGTAAGCTCACAGTGGGGGGCGCTGTGGGGGGCTCTGTGTGGCCTGTTAGCCTGTTATAGAGACAGATCGCTGACTCCAGAGCCAGAAAAAGCCCGTGTTTATTCCAGTGGGCCTGTGGTCACACAGCTGTTGCTCACATTTGACCCCATCACTGCAGCCGTGTGCAGACAGGAAGCACGCATTCACATCCACATATACTGGGCGCACACAGACACACACTCACACACTCACACACTCACACACTCACTAGGCACGCAGAGACATATTCACATTCACAGGACAGAAATGAACCTTTCCTAAATAGCTCTGATCTGGAGCTGTATCAGAGCAAGTAAAAGAGCACATATGAATATAAAAGAAAGAACCATATTTTTTGGACTATAAGTGGCTCCAGAGTGAAAGCACCTGCCAAAAAATGCATAATAAAGAAAAAAAACATTATAAAAGTCGCACTTTTTGGGGGAAATTTATTTTATAAAATCAGAGACCAGGAACAGACATTCCATGTTGAAAGTCAAGTTCTAATAATAACAATAGAAGAGAGAACAACAGACTGTTAACGTCACATATGAACAGTTCTTCAGATAAACTATAACATAAACAACAGAACAAGTTTAACCAAACTCTCCATCTCACTCCAAATCACTAAATCCATTCAGTTCTTCATCCTCGGTGTCACTTCTGAACAACTCTGTGACCTCCGGAGGTAAACAGAGCGCCGCCGCTTCCTCTTCTGTGTCGCTGTCGTCAGACTCAGCATCAGTTCCAGTTAGAATTATTCGGGTCTTTCTGAATCCCGACAGGATGGTTTCGGTGTCACTGAAGTCCAGGCTTTGTCCATCCATCCAGTGACTTCCAGAAAAGTTTCATGGTGCACCCTCCTGGTTACTGTGAAGCTGTGTTCTCCATCCCCACCTTTTGCCAGTCCCTCACAAGTTTCTCCCTCACTCCAAGCTTTCTGCTGCTCGATTACGGTTTTTGGCTGAATATTTCACTACTTGTAGCAGGACAGAGGCTCTTTCTGCAGGAGACATGTGCAGTAGAGTGATGTACCGGTGGTACAGGAGAAATAGGAGCAGCAGATACTGACACACAAGCTTTTAGAGCGCCCTCTCGTAGTCATATTAGTCGCACCGGAGTATAAGTCGCAGGAAACACCCAAACCATGAAAAAAAGTGCGGCTTATAGTCTGAAAAATACGTTACTACTATTTAACATTGAAAATCACACTCTATAAAACAGACTTTCCCAAACTTTTTTTCTGGGGTCCCATATTTTAAAAATCACAAATCTTCCCGACTCCAGTCAATAGACATTATTCGTAAATCACAAAATAAAGGTGGATTTGACCATTATTGAACATTAATGAAGATATTTTATTGTTTACTGAGTGATTATGTCTCTGAACAATTAGTATTACTCAAGTTTTAAACAATGAAAAACAGTAATCAGTGTTTCCCACAGAAATTGGTTAGGCAAGGCGGTGGTGCCGAAAAAGTGAGAAGTGGGAGGGTGCGCGGAGATTCTATGCATGGAGAAGAAGTGATTAAAGGGGAGGTGTCCGCAGAGATTCTACATGTGGATTGTAACAAGGCGACCCCAAAAAAAACTCTTGTGATCCACCTGAGGATTGCGACCCAGTCTTTGGGAAACAATGGCCTAAAAGATTCCACTGTTGCATCTGAATCGGAATAGAGTAAGGAGTCTACTCCTCAAGTTTTGAAATCAAGTTTGAAATGTTACCATTGTGACAACACTAACGGGCACCACACCAGGCTCTGCACCAGGAACCAGGAATCGCACCCACAACCTATTTTCAGTGAGAGCAGCAGCTGAAGGATGGCAACAATGACCAGTAGTTCCATCTATGCAATCACTCAATAACTGCAGTGTGGTAGCAGCCGATCTCTCACACACGTTTTAATATGTGTATCAACAAACAGTCCAACCATGGCTGGAAATAACATCCCGGTTTAAACTGGCAATCTCCGGTTTAGTTTTGTTTATTTGGCTTTGTTTATCTCGTTGTTATTTTCGAGGACTAAAAGAGAAAATGACTCAAAAGGAGTAAACACAACGGAACCACAGACAATACAGGGACTGGGTGAAGAGTAAACAGCCTAACCAGACCCAAACACATGGAGAGCCAGGCTGTTTTCAACATGTGGCATTTACAGGGACAGTTCTGTGAGGTAAAAATAGAAGCATGGATCAAAAGAGTAGTAATAGTATTCCGAAAATGATGTTTTTGTGATATTTTAAAGGTCCTATATTACGTAAATTAACTCTTGAGCTTTAAGCCGTGTTAGAATGTTGTTAACATACAGGTTTCAAGGTTTCAATCACATCACATAAGTGTGAGTAATCCTGGTTTATTAGTCCATCTTCATCTCCAAAGCTTAAAATTCTCCCTTCCACCTTGTGATGTCATGTAGTGGTAGTCTTTTTGTTCAGTAAAGATTGGCATATTCAGGGATGAAATTATCCAAATGATTCTAGTGAAGGTGTATGGAGTTTAAAACACAGTGGAGCACTTACTGCATTACCACATGACATCACAAGTTGGAACAGTATTTTCTGTTTGAGAATGGATACTCGTTACAGATTCCGATGCCACGATTATGGTAAAAACACACTTAAAAAAATAAATACATAAATAATAATAATAATAATAATAATAATAATAATAATAATAATAATAATAATAATAATACGTTTATTCAGATACAAATACAACTAATAATCTTCAAAAAAATATATATGTATCAATTTAATACGTTATTTGCCCCCACCCCCTTTTACAAAACCATTAAAACAATAATGTGCTTCTGCCAGACTCTAAGAATAGTACGTCACATTAATCCAGATACAAAATACATAACTGTATTTCAAAATGTTTTAGTCACAGTCAAATGACAAATTAACTTAAATTCCTTCTTCTGCACACTGCTATAATTGTTTCTTTACATTTTGAGCATTTACTCAAAAAAAAAAAAAAAAAAAAACTATACATTTTTGTAAAATGTAGAACTTTGTGCTGTTGTGACGTATTTATTTTCTTGCATTATCTATTACTGCATCAGCCAGTATTGCAATATCGATAGTTATGTGATATACTGTGCAGCCCCAGTACAGACGTTTATAGATCTGACTGTTCTGTGTCGTTTGTAGGAACTACCATGTGTTTTACTACCTGCTGGCAGGAGCAAGTGAAGACGAACGCACCGCCTTCCACCTCATGAAGCCTGAAGAGTACCATTACCTCAGTCAGGTATGTGTGTGTATGTGTGTGTATGTGTGCGTGTCCCTGTGTGTCAGGTGTGTGTGTGTGTGTGTGTGTGTGGGGTACAGTCTGGTGTGGTCTTCACTGATCCTCCTGCTCACATGTGGCACTGGCGACTTTGGGCTGAATGACTAAATGATGGATTTATTTGAAGAATTTGAAAAATAAATATGAGCTGAAAATAAACCCAAATCATAATCAAATCAAATTTTGATTGTAAACAATGTATTAAAATCACACACAGTCACATTCAGGAGGTGTGAACCAAATGTCCCATTTGTATCTGACCTCATTTAGTCTAAAAACAATGTGCAAGACCTCGACAATCTTCTATAAAGTATAAAGTGTGTGTTATAACTCATGTTCTATCCTTGGAAGTGTGAAAGATGTGAACTGAACAAAAGAAATGGCATTCTAATCAGTGTTTAAAAGAAATTTGTAGAATTCTATTTGCGTCAAACCTGCACCGAGATATTTTCTCCCTAATCCTTTAGCCCCAAGTGTGAGACCTAAGGCTAAAAGGAGCACAGTGGAAGTCTGTGCCTCAGGTGGTGGGTCTGTCATCACTCCAACTGTGTACTGTGTGTACTGTGTGTACTGTGTGTACTGTGTGTACTGTGTGTATTTTGTGTACTGTGTAGTGTGTGTGTGGGATCACGACTTCACCTGGTCCAGTCTGAATCTCTCTCATCGTGTGTGTCTCTGATGTGTACTTGTGTTTGTGTACAGGGGTGTATTGTGTAGTATGTGTACTCGTGTCTGTGTACAGGGGTGTATTGTGTAGTATGTGTACTCGTGTCTGTGTACAGGGGTGTAGTGTGTGTGGGATACATCTTCACCTGTAACTTTTTATTAGAGTTTCCCTGTAGCCCTCAAGAGAAGACTACAAATTTGACTAAAAACAATGTTATGACTCACACACTTGCATAGCACATATCAAACGTACAAGAAACCTCTGACAGGAGTGACAGGGGCTGTGACAGAAGGTGTGACAGGAGCCGTGACAGGAACAACTGACAGTTGCAGTGACAGGAGCAGTGATAGAAGGCCTGACAGGAGATATCACGATAGCCGTGACCTGAGCCATGACGGGGGCCATGACCTGAGCCATGACCGGAGCCGTGACCAGAGTAGTGACAGGAGCAGTGATAGAAGGCCTGAGAGGAGATATCACGATAGCCGTGACCTGAGCCATGACGGGGTCCATGACCGGAGCCGTGACCAGAGTAGTGACAGGAGCAGTGACAGAAGGCCTGAGAGGAGCCGTGATCGGCAGCAGTGACTGGGGCTGTGACTTAAGCCATGACTTGAGCCGTGACAGGGGCCATGACAGGAGCAGTAATAGGAGTAATTGACAGTTGCAGTGACAGGAGCCTGAACACGAGCCACGTCAGGAGCCGCGTCAGGAGCCGCGTCAGGAGCTGTGACCTGAACAGTGACCTGAACAGTGACCTGAACAGTGACCTGAGCTGTGACAGGAGCCATGATAAGTGCAGTGACCTAAGCAGCGACAGGAGCAGTGACAGGAGCCATGACAGGAGCAGCGACAGGAGCAGTAATAGGTGCAGCGTCAGGAGCAGCGTCAGGAGCTGTGACCTGAGCACTGACAGTGACCTGAGCAGTGACCTGAGCAGTGACAGGAGCCGTGATAGGTGCAGCAACAAGAGCTGTGACAGGAGCAGTGAACTGAGCAGCGGCAGGACCAGTGACAGGACCAGCGACCTGAGCAGCGACCTGAGTAGCGACCTGAGCAGTGACAGGAGGAGTGACAGGACCAGCGACCTGAGCAGTGACCTGAGCAGTGACCTGAGCAGTGACCTGAGCAGTGACCTGAGACCTGAGCAGTGACCTGAGCCGTGACAGGGGCAATGATAGGTGCCGTGACAGGAGCCATGACAGGAGCCATGACAGGAGCCGCGACAGGAGCAGTAATAGGTGCAGCGTCAGGAGCAGCGACCTGAGCAGTGACAGAAGCAGCGACAGGACCAGCGACAGGACCAGTGACAGGACCAGCGACAGGAGCAGTGACAGGAGCAGTGACGCCTCTGTCCTCCTCGCGCCCACGCTGAGCCGACCAGGGAATTCCATCCATTCCAGCCGCACACAAACCCCAGAGCAGAGTCCCAGTGTGGGCTCTGGCGGGGCTGTCCCTCCCTCTCCTCTTCCTCATTCCTCTGGTTCTTTTTCTGCACAAACACTAACGCTCCTGCGGCCGTCACAGGCTGGGAAACGCATGCTCTGTCTCAAAGGCCTGTTTAAGTCTGCGCTCTATAAAACCACATAACTCACACATCCAGCTGTATTTTTATCCCCTTTATTCACTTCGCATTTTAGTTCACTTTTAAACATTTCGCAGTGGCCCAAAGTTCTTCCTCACTTACCTTATGCGTTCTGAGCATCCTAATTACTCACGCCGATGATTTTATAAGTGCTTTTCACGACTTCCAGAGACGGAGCACCGTTTGACCATCACAGAAAAGCTAACAACAATAAAACGCTTTCTAATTACAGCTGTATTTTAACTGTTTCCCCAAAGCTATTAGTACTTCGATTACATAAGGCAACCTGCAGAGTAGCGATTAAAGATGACTCAGACCAGAGCCAGTTTCCAGTTTCTTCATCGCTGTACTTCTTGGAAAGCATTAACCACTCAAACTGTTTTATATAAATGTCTTAACTCTTCAGATATTAATCTTAAAGGGCCCTTATCGCTGCATTTTTTGGTGTGTTCTAATGTTGTTTCCTCATCATAAACAGACCTGGAGTTGTGTTTTGTTTCATTCACATGTTTAACACACAAACCTTGTATATTTAGGCAGTTCAATAGAAAATAGACTGAGCAAAACAAAGAGCATGCTTCAGTAAGAACAGCACGCACACAATGTAATACTGCACAACCAAACTGATAAATCCAGTGTAATATGGGGCAGTGTATGTATATAAAACACACAACAGCAACAACAGATTAACTACAAACTCAAAAAGAGTGCAAGATGGAGTTAGTGTAAACATGGACTGTATAAAAGAAGTGGACTAAGTGAGTATGACATCACCCACAGTCATCAGTGTCACTCATATGAGGCTCGTGATGTTCACTGTTACAGGAGCGAATCTGTAGCCAGGCTCTGTGTTATGAACAGGTTTTTTTTTAATGGACAAAATAGTGAAAAAAAACCCAACAAAAAACGATCATGTAGAGCGAGTTAATACAAACATGGCGGCTGGTCAATAGGGGCACAAGAGCACCGCACTCCCTAACTTGACCTAGATAAAAAAAAGAATTTAAAACATTATAAAGTCGTAATTTTTTTATGAGGCTATATGTTTAATATTTTGTTTAAAATTGAAAGTATATCAGCATAGACATATTTTTATCACGTTAAATGTGCTCATATCACTTTATTTGAGTCATGTGTTTGGAATTTGAGTGCGGTGAGTCGGAGCGACCTAATGGAGTTTCTACGGAAGAGCCTCAAGTTTTGCGAAAACTTGACGTCATGACGTTGCTTGTGCCTATTACTTTACCTGAGCCCTAAAATACGTGTTTGGGGCGCAGGGTGGGAGCGACATGAAATCAACTGATTGGTCTGAATAAACATGAACAAACATGTTGACGTGTTGTGGTTCAGCTGCTCTGTCGCTCAGCCCCGACTCTGCACTGACACATGTTACTGCTACAGGTGTTAATGATGACAACAACAGAGCTGTGTGTTGTACACTTATGGAGAGTTCGTACAAGTACGTCCGAGGAACAGTTTTGGGGAGTAAGAACAAAAAAAGCAGCATTAAGCTGGAATGAGCTGCGGTGAGATACTCCGGCTCTTATTCTGATTCGCACACTGGCTAATGGCGGCTAGCTATTAGCTTAAACCTCTGCACAGTAAAGTGCGAGGACAGACCCGCCGCCTGGACCAGGAGCCACGCATCGCCAGAGCCTGTCGGACCCAGGACCCACTCTCTGCCGGGGCCGGGGCTGTTGTTCGCCGCTCTGTCCGCCTTTGCCTGCGTGTTTCTCGGTGTAAAAGTTTCACTGGGCGCTGCGCACAGAGGACATAAGTCCACCTGTGTCCTAGTGCTAATATGGACTGGTGTCACTTGTGAGATTAAGACAATTTTACAATGCACTCGGCTCTTGGACTCGGCTCACGGACTTGACTGGACCAGGATTTGGACCAGTTTGACTACTTCGTAGTGGACAAAACAGTTTTGGAGAAAGAAATAATGGGACAGTGGATAGAGGAAACACTCTGCTTCAGTCTCTGGAGAAGGTAAGAGGCTTGTTCTCGTTAGTTTGTGGCAAATCTGATGATGGAGCCTCACAGGTAAATAGTGTTATAGTGTTATAGTTAAATAGTGCCCAAATGTAAGTCAATTGGAGCCAGGGTGAGAAGGAGCTGGAAAAGCCTCCTGGAGAACTTCCTAATTGGCACACGGCGGCTACAGCGTTATCTATGTCCACTCATATCAACGGTTTATGGGTGAAACATCCAGGTGTATGACAGTGTATGACTTTGGGTTTAAAGTCTTTAATCTTGTTTCTACTACTTTTAGAGTGTATGTTACTCTTTCATTTCTGGGCAATTAAGTGAAAGAGTTTAAAATGTATATCCACTTCTACATTAAAGAGCTCCTGAAGATAAAGTTGTTTATAGATCACAGCATGTTAGTTCTTTACTATACTTGGCTCTACAAGTTTCTAAAAATAAACATTATTGTATATTAGACCATGATGGAAATAAGCATCTGCAGCACTCTGTCTGTGTCAAAGAAATGATTATTACTAGTTATTATTATTCTTACAAAAACATTATAATAACACATTTCATTTTGTTGAAAGACAAAAGTAACACATTGAGACTAAAAGAGAGAAGCACAGACTCCAAGATATCGTTTATGTTAAACACAGTACATAGTAAACCAATGGAAAATATATTTATTGTTATGGAGGAAAATGAGTCATTATAGCAACAGCATGTGCACATAAAGAAAATATAGTTTAGCAATCAAAAGGCTACATCGATTTATATGAAAGACTTCCATTCAACGAGAAAACCAAATCATACACTCACACTCACCTCTGTAATAGCAATATCAATGACGCTACCGATTACATTATATTTGAGTTTTTCTCTCAAAATATAAACATACTGTTCCACCTTGTGATGTCATGTGGTAATACAGGAAATGCTCCACTGTGTTTTGGATGATTTCAGTCCTGGAATTGCCAATCTCTCCTGAACAAAAGGTAAAAAATAGCCATTGACTTGAAAACTACCGGTTCATGACGTCACAAGGTGGAACAGAGCAGGATTACTCAAACATGTGAATGAAACAAAACACAACTCCAGATCTGTTTTTGAGAAGGTAACAACATAACATGGTTTAAACCTCACGAGAGTCACTTTAGTGTCATACAGGACCTTTAAAGCATCACTCACTCTCTTGTAAACCTTTCTCTGCAGTTGGATTGGGCATGTGTATGTGTGTGTATGTGTGTGTGTTACATCATTCACTGTAACGCTTCCTCATTCATGTGACAGAGTTCCCATCATGCATTTGACCCGTACATGTATCTGATGTCATGTAAAATATCGTCTGCTTTTGTGTAACAGCATGTAACGTCATTGTGGAGAAGTGCTATGAAATACTGTCTACAGGGTGTTCATGGACAAAATAATGACATCCAAATGAAACATGGAGGGTCTAAATATTTAAATATCCATTGAAAACCTGCTGGGAATGTTCCAGAGTAGGGCTTTGTATTATTTGGTAGTTGCCGAAACGATACCTCGATACATAGGCCACGTTACGATATATATCTCGATACAGTGAGCTTACAATTCAATATTTCAAAGCGATTCGATACAGTTCAATAAAAATAAAGGCTAAATCATGGCTGTGATACTAAAAGCCTTTGTTGGACCACTTCTTCTGCAAAATTAATATGAAACTCAAGCAATTTTAATCTCAAAAACGGTGAAAATGTCCAATGTGTTGCAAAAGCGAGTTTCCTTCCTCTGAACAAACAACAAAACTGTAGCTCTGTAACTGTCACAAAACAAAATGGACTCAAAATAAACCAAATGGTCACCATTATAATATCGAAATAATATTTAATATAACAGTATTTCCAAACAATAAAACAGGTTAAAAACAAAAAAGCTATTAAAACATGCAGTATCTATAGGAAATACTTATAACAGTATCACTTTCACCGACATTTTATCTTACAATTTATTTTATTTGGTTCAGTGTACTTGAGGTTTTTTTTTTTTCCCCCTTTCTTGTGTAGTTGATGTATCGCCCCAGGTATTGTATGTGTTATTTATGTGAATTTGTGAAAAAAAATATATAATAAAATAATAATAGTTTAGCAAAATATACCAAAAAATATGCCATTTATCGATACTGTATCATTGCAACAAACCATACAATATATCGATATTTCAATCTTTTTGCACAGCCCTACTCCAGAGTTTGGCATTAAACTTGTCAAACATGTAGTTTTTAAATATAGTATTAGTGCATTCCAAGAGGTTCAACTTAATGATGCATTGTGTATCTTTTCTGAAGATGTTTCTATGGAGACGCCGTTGCTCTGGCTGGAATGTTCCACAGTGTGACATTAAACAGCTCTACCTTACATTTATTCCGTTACGAGTGGTTTTATAGCTCAAAAATACCTACAAAAAAAAAGATGCCTGACCTGGAACTTGGTCTGGTTTGGTGTCCATTGTGATAGAAACCTTTAATGCCATACTGTGAAACATTCCCGACAAACTAATAGGTCTTCATATGAACTTATATTACAGCAGTTCCTCTCTACCCTCCACGTCAATAATAACTTAAGTCTTTTGAGAATATTGTCCACATTGAGCACAGCCTGTTCCTCGTGCATCCTCGGTCTAACTGTACTGATGACATGAGTCCATTTGAACGCTGCTGTCACTAACCTGCTCTCTGTAAACTTAACATTTCCAGATGACAAAGAAACAGCACCGATCGCACTGGGACAGTTACTGTGACTCTGAACCGGTCAGTATACAGCTGTGTGTGTGTGTGTGTGTGTGTGTGTGCGTGTGCGTGCGAGTGTGTATGTGTGTGTTTTTCACATGTGTATCCCCCTCACACTCCTCACAATGGAATGGATTTGTCTAGCACTGTGTTCACTTTAGAAAAACACAATTATTTCACTTGTTACAGTGTATTTCTGACTTTTTTCAGCCTTTTTTGTTATTTCCATTCGATGTGGGTAAAACTGTCACTATCTTACTGAAGGAGTAGTATCTTTACATTAGAATTAGTTGAAATTGAAAGGACCTCAGATTTTTTCTGATGGAAGTTACACCACATGGTTGTGTCCATGGAGATGCTATTGCTTTGCCTGGAATGTTCCACAGCATGGCTTTTAAAGAGAAGCAGGTGACTGTAAATGTAACTTGGGTGGCCAAGTTATAGGTCAGATCTGTGGAGAGGTTCCAGTTAAAGTTATAACATCTGCATGGAGACAAGTGTATTGTGTTCCTCCACCAGAAAAGTTACGCAGGGTAACTTTAAAAGAAAGTCACCGAAATTACTGTATTTTTCAGACTATAAGGTGCACTTAACATCCTTTAAATTTTCTCAAAAATCGGCAGTGCGCCTTATAATCCAGTGCACCTCCTGTGTTAATTCTGATTGTGTTTACTGACCTTGAACTGATTTTATGTGGTACACAGCGCTCAACGCTGGGCAAATTACGCCACAGTCTCGATCTGCCAGTGGACCGTGGATGTCTCAAGTGTCATCTGTTTGTTTCACTTAATGCACCTTATAATCTGGTGCACTTTATGTATGAAAATAGATGAGGGAATTCAACATTATTCTTATTGTGCCTTATAATCCTGTGCATTTTATAGTCTGAAAAATACGATATTTAAAATGAAAAGACTACTACTAGACTTATTAGAGATGAGCTACAACTGCATACTTTTGATCAGATTAAAGTCATAAAGTTAAAACCACCTCCCGATTCTGCAGTACATTTTTATCTGAAGTAAAAATATAACAAAATCAGCTATTTTTAAATCATTTAAAATCAAATCTCACCAGCACCTTAGTATTAAGACATTTACGAATGACAAAAAAACACAACTTGCTTTGTGTAATGCATTTAGAATTTTTGTGGAGAGTTTCACGTCATAACAGCAGCATAAACTGTTTCTTTTAAAGAGAGAGTATTATGCAAATTACATATTTGGGGGCAGCTTTCTGTCATGTTATAACATTGTTCCCTCATCACAAACATGCCTGAAGAGGTTTGAGATGTCCTCCATGCATGTTTGGGTAATCATGAAAGCTGAGACATTGAGCCGATCTCTCCCAGGTTCTATTCAAACCCTCTTACCGTTTGCTCTAAGATTCTGTCCAGAGCTCCGCCCACAAGCTTAGATCACCCACGCTCCCACAGTTCTCAATAAATATACAAAAACATGACAAAACATACAAAAACGTACACCACAACTTCACAAACCGATGATGATGATGATGATGTGCAGTAGTTTCATTAGTTCTGATTGTGTTGTGATAGTTTCTGAAGGGGAGTAACTTAGAGCGCGGAGCAAAGGGAAGGAGAACTTATTAAACATGTTTATTTATTTATTTTATTCCTGAAGGAAATTCATTAATTAATTCCCCATAGAAGTAAAATAGTCCCTCTTTAAACAAGTGTGCGTAGGTGAGAAGCTTTGCAGTGTACGATCCCACATCTCCTCTGGCTTTTCCCTCACATCTGCACATGTCGCGGCGGCTGCTCCTCGGATCACTTGTTCCATCTCGGTGCAGTTTGTTTGTCTGTAGATTGTTTTTGCTCCTCGCTGTTTGCCTGCGCTGGTATGTCCCGGTCCCTTCCTCACCGCTGCATCTGCTCTGCTCTCACCGCGTCCTCCACGTGCGTTCACTTCCCCTAATGAAGCCTCAAACATTATCCAGTCATTAGGTTAGAAAACACGGCCAAAACAAGCAGGGTTTGTGCACAATTCACTTCTGAAAGTAGCAAAAATAAACTGTTCCAATGAGACACAGATGAGTAAACGAACAAAACATGATTAAGTTAGTAAGTTAGGTAGTTTATTTCACTGGGCCGTATGCAGTTTGTAATGGCAGAAATCTAAGAAACAACACGGTAATAATGGTAACAACAGTGATAGAATTATTAAAAATGTATATTTTGAAATGTTATACCATGTGTATGATCCAAATTTTGGAATGAAGGCGACTGCAGGTAAACTGAAGTAGACCTAATACATTTTTAATCAACTTTAGAATTTCCAGGTAAGAAATGTTGCTTAGTTTGCTTTTCTGTTACAAATGATGAAAATATACACTTCCATCACAAATTTAAATTGCATTTAAACTTCATGAAAAGTTAGTTTGTGGTTATGTGTTATAACTGAAAAATGTACCGTATTTTTCACACTATAAGCCGCTCTTAAAATCCTTTAATTTTCTCAAAATCAACAGTGCGTCTTATAAACCTTATGTATTAATTCTGTTTGTGTTTACTGACCTCGAACCGATTTTATGTGGTACACGGCACTCAAAAATCTGTCAAAATATTTTAGTACGACTTTGGTAAACTACAAAGCCGCACCACTTGATGGATTGTCAGAGCATTTCGGCTATTGTAGTCAGGAGCCATCACGGAGTAAAGGGTGAAGTATATTTTTGTGTCGACTCATTGCACATTGTCACCATCGCCTTGTCTCGGAAAGAACACCTATAATCCACTGAGTCGTGTCCTTTAATCTCACAGAAGCTGAACCGCATCAGCGCACAAGGAACAAGCAGGTTTTTTTTTTTCAGCGCTTATAGTTTATGCAAATGAGCCATGTGGTTTTAAGTTTCGTTTCTGTAAAACGTAAACAAATGTGCGCAAAGCTGCATTAAACACATTATTACTCAATGTATGTTTGAGTCGTCCTTGTAGGCAATAAAAAAACAACTTATTGAATTACACCACGATCTGCTCATTCTCAGTCTCAAGTGTCGTCTGTTTGTTTATCTTAATGTGCCTGATAATCCAGTGCACTTTATGTATGAAAATAGATGAGAGAATTCAACATTATTAAGTAGTCTGAAAAATACAGTAAATCTTTTGTGTATAGATTAGGGATGGGCATTCGATGAAATTTTCTTAATCAATCGTCAGAAGAATTAGCGATCGATTATCGATTAATCATTAACATTTTTATATTAAAATGATCATCATTATTATTACTATCTGCACTAATCTGCATGAATAAATTCAACTTTACGACAAATAAACTGTAACCACTCTAGAGCCACATCAGCCCGTTCGACATTATAATGTGTTTAATTCAGTTTTGCGCAACTCTCACAGAAACAAAACTTAAAACCGCATCACTAATTTGCATAAACTAAGCGAAGATAAAACTACAGCTCCTGTGTCGCTGATGTGGTTCAATTTCTGTTGGATTAAAAGACATGACTCAGTGGAATACAGGTTAGTGTGACCAGATTTGCGTTTGTCAAAACCAAGACACTGTACGGGGGGAGGGAGGTGGGGACTCGTCATCGACATTGAGCGACTCTCACCTGGCAAAACTTTTTCCCTCTGGACACCGAAAAAGCATGGAATTTCTTGTACAAGTCATCGTTAAATACACATATGCACTTCGGTACGTTGCAGGCGGACTGACTGTTTGTGTCTCGCTCCTTCTGAGTGCAGAGAGACACATGTACACACCTGTTTGGTCACGTTACACACAGCAACCTACATTCGGTTTGTCGATAAAAATTAACGTAATCGATGAAATTCTTAATGATCAATTATCGATTAATCGACTAATCATGCCCATCCCTAATATAGATACAGGTATATAGAGAACATTTGATGTGCAATTGTATGTCTAAAGCTACCACCTGTATTTAAACAGGCCGTCCCAGCCCTGTTGTATTCTCACTCTTCACCACTAGATGCTGTCTATGTTATTCCTGTCTCATAGTGTAAGCTAGATACATAGACTGTTTTAAAAAGTGGGCTACACGAGTGTGACGTCACCCACAGCATTCAGCTTCAGTCAAATGACCCAGGCTCCATATTAGGAATAGGAATTTTTTAGTCATAACTTTTTTATTGAGCCAAAGGTAATTGACAACTGAAATTGTACAGAATCAATATCGCTCAGTGCTTTTTGGTATATAAAAATTTTAATCGAACTGAAAACAAATCTAACAACAGCTTGTGGAGGTACATAGATACAGATTGTAAACAATCTATAAGAGGTTGCCACACTTTCTTAGATTACATTAGTTTATCCTTTAACAAATATCGTATTCTCTCTCGGTGTAAAGTATTAGCAAGGTCTCGTAGCCACATTTTCGAGCTTGGTACTGACGGCCCCTTCCCTGACATTAAAAGTAGTTTCTTTGCAATAATAAGACAATAGTAAATGAACTGTAGGAATGTTTTAATGCAAATTAAAAAACCTCATGATCCTGTATAGTGGGTTAACATTTTAAGACCAAAAGGAGGCTCATGGCAGCATTTACAGAGAAAGGGATGACAATATTCTAATGTAAGTCAATGGGAGCCATGGTCAGAAGGAGCCGTAAATGCCCACATGCGAAATTCCTATTTGAAACATGACGGCTAGTGTCTTAGCTTTGTCAATTTATATATACGCTCAAGTCTAGAAATCATGTACAGTCGTGTTGAAAAGTGAAATACAACAAGGCTGGGTGGGCCAGTCTTTTAAAGGTGCACTGTAACTTTTCTGGTGAAGGATCCTCTATCTGCTTGTCTCCATGGTGATGCTATTGCTTTGCCTGGGATGTTCCACAATATGGCAACTCAGGTATATCTTGTATTTATTCAATTACGCATGTCTTTATTTCTCATAACTACAGCAAAAACATCCACAATTACTTTGAGCAGGCCCACTTCTCCATAGATCTGACCTGTAACTCGGCCTGGTGATATGGCTTGCTTGCCTCCATGGAGATAATTAAATGAAATGCCGTACTGTAGAACATTTCAGAAAAAAAAAACAACAAAAAGCAACATGAAGTCAAGCAGTGCACCTTTCAGTAAACAGTTTTGCCTCATTTAGGATCAGTGAATGAACTGGATCTCGTATCAGTTCAAATATTCATGAAGGATTTCTTAAACTCTTAAAATTCAAAAATGTTGCGTCTTTTCCCTCCATGTGTGAACTGAAAGTGGACGTTACATAACTAAGCCGCCCCTCGTTGCAGCGTGGAGGCGAGCGAGTGGAAGTGTGAGTTTCGTGTTTGTGTTTCTGCAGCCCTGGTATGTGGTAATTACGGCGGCCATATTGGAATGGGCCCATAAAGCGCAGAGCGGCTCCTATTACAGTGGCTCCGCTTGCTCTGCTGCATCAAAGCCCTCGCGCCCGCCCGCTCGCCTGGGAAAGACAACACGTGGAATCCTGCGCCGACATGGCCTCGCTAAACATTTAGATTGTATACAGAGCAGAGAACATTACTCCGGCAGTACCAGGCGGAGACTTTTTATTACCAGTGAACCGTCAGCATGTTCATGTCGACATCTGTACAACCTAAACCAGATTACAGCTTTAAACATAACATTTGTGCTCGACAGATTACCATGGTGACACAAATGTTAGTTATATTTGATTTCTATACCTCAGTGTTCATATTAAAGGCTCATTGTGTAACTTTTCTGGTTGGAGTTCCATCACCTCCTTGTTTACTCTGCTTGGAATGTTCCACAGTGTGACATTAAACTGCTCTACTTTACATTTATTCAGTTACAGGTGGTTTTATAGCTCAAATATACCTAGAAAAACAACATTCTGACTGTGAGCGGGGTCGCCTCTCCACAGATGTGACCTGTAACTTGGTCTGATTCGGTCTCCTTGAAGATAGAAAGGTTTAATGCCATACTGTAGAGCATTCTAGACAAAGCAATAACATCTCCATGAAGAAAAGCATTTGACGAAAAGTTACACAATGCACCTTTTAACAATTTTTTTTACATACTTTGATATAGATTATATTGAAATCAGATATTATTTCATCTTAAATGATTAAATATTTGTATTTTTAATATAATTGACATCTAAAAACAGTGACGTATAAAAAACAAAAACCTACTGATACTTTGTAGCCGATGTCATCAACATTACTTGTGCGGGGGAAGCTAACTAGAGGCACTGCTCTGTCTGAAGCTCTGTCACTCAAGTTAGACTTGCGTGATCTTTGTTTTAACATAATCTAATCATAAGAACTGACTAAGCAGAAGAGATTCTTTGTGTTCTTAAAGGCTCTCATGCATCAAATTACAGTCACAAGCTGACAGTTTTTAAGCCAACAGTTTTTCAGTTAGTCACTCTCATTTTTTTGGAGAAAATCAAACTCCTAAACAGAACCATGAACTGATCACAGGCTCCTGAAAATGTGCTGTTTAAATCCATCCTGTTTGTTTTTTTGAGTTTTCAGACTATATACTTGTAAAAACGTATCAGGCTGCATTAAGTAACGTGTACATAGTGTCACCATGGAAATTGTTAAACAATGTGCCATAGATGTACATGCTGTACACCCCAGCGTGATGTCTCTGCAAAGTATCAGTACATACAAAACTCTAATATGGGCTGCAATATCTGAAACTGATTTTGAGTATTTAATACTTTTGAGTTATTTCACTTTCTACACCAGAGCAGTTAGTTTGAAATACAGGGTGTTGTAAAAAAAAAAAAGAAAATGGACAATTTCGCAGGCCAGTAATTTTGGCATTTCTTGTTGAAATAACCTCAAATTTTCACAGAATGTACAGAAACAGAGCTAATTCCAAGACACAAAACTAATTTTCTTTGGGAGTGAACGACTCAACCTGAAAACAAACAAAAAAATAAAACAGTAAATATAAAATCTTAATCCTTTTTTATACATTCTGTGGAAATTTGAGATTATTTCAACAAGAATTGCCAAAATTATTGGCCTGTGAAATGATTTTTTGGTACACCCTGTATATTCTGTGTATTATTTTCCATTGGAGCATGTGTGTGTGTGTGTGTGTGTGTGTGTGTGTGTGTGTGTGTGTGTGTGTGTGTGTGTGTGTGTGCGTGCGTGCGTGCGTGCGTGCGTGCGTGCTCGCTGAGTGGACTGGTTGCACATGAGAGCAGTGCAGTTTGGTGTGAGCCTCTCTTAATGATAGGCCTTTAAGTGTGAGTCACTGCTCAACAGTCTCTCCTCTGCTCCGCTGTATAAACTAAAGCCCCATCAGGTCTGTGTACTCCACACTCTTCATATCTGAACATGTGCTGTTTGTAACACTCTGTGTGTGTGTGTGTGTGTGTGTGTGTCTGTGTGTAGGACTGCTTCACGGTGGAGGGTGAGGACCTGAAGCATGACTTTGAGCGTCTGCAGTTGGCCATGGAGATGGTGGGCTTCCTCCCCACCACCCGCAAACAGTGAGTCTCATTCTCCTGTCAACAAGAGGGACAGAGTGTACTGCACTAATGTACACAATATATGTACACTTCTGCCTCAAGTACAACATTCTGTTTACAGTTTAGATTTGATTATTAAGGCGTTGTATCTTTTTTTACCATCTTAAAAATGTGAAGTTGTCCAAATATGGAAGATAATTTGTTTCATCAGATTAAAACTTTAAATGCCATTGAATTTCTCACTTTCAGTTTTTAACTCAGAAAAAACATATTTGAATTATTTTTATTCTGAATGTCAGCTGAATATTTAAAAGGTGACATTTTTATTTTTAATTTGAAACATTAACTATACTTAAAATTTCAGCAACTAAATTTCTGAATAAAAATAATTTATTCTTTTTTGTGAGAAATTCAACAATTTAAAATTCAAAATCTAATGGAACAAATTGTCTTCCATATCCAAAGTAATCCCTCACTCAACTTGTAAACTCTGAGCACTTGTTGTTCACTGCGATGAGTTTATGAGCGCTTTTCACACCTCTGACACCAAAGAGTTTTAATGGAAGTCAGCAAGTGCATATTAGCATGCTAGTTTACCATCATGGCAAAAGTCCACACTAGACACTGAAAGTTGCAAAACACACTTATAAACTCTTCACAGTGAATAAATAGGATGCTAGAAATGAACTCGGTAAGTGAGTTCAGTTTTTCAAGTTTTGAAGTGTGGATCGATTGCTTTTATTTATTAAGTTGATTTGATCTGTGTCACATATTGAAGCATTCTAGACAAGACTCGTTCTCAATGTCCATCCTAGTTGGGCTTTTATGGATTATTTCATCTTTTTTTTTTAAAGACTACACTTCTAGATAGGTAGATTTTTGTTCCTCTCCTGCTTGATCACTCAGACAGCTTGAGTAGCGTCCCACATTTGTTTTGGACGGGGCAAAGCGCTCGTATCTGCAGGACTGCTCAAATACAAGGCTGGTGTGTTGACGTTGGCCGCTGTGGTGTTGTGTAGGATCTTCTCCCTGCTGTCGGCCATCCTCCATCTTGGAAACATCCGCTACAAGAGGAAGACGTACCGGGACGACTCCATAGACATCTGTAACCCCGAGGTGCTGCCCATCGTCTCCGAGCTGCTCGAGGTAAACGCCTGAGTGCACGCTTCAGTTTGACTTAGAGAGATGTGTTTTACAGTGGAACTCAACAGGCCAATTTTCCATTCCTTTTTCCTGTAGACTTATTAATATATAATAATAAGTATATAATAAGAATTCTTGCTAAGTCATATCTATAACATGGTTGTTTTAAAGATGCACAATGTAACTAGAATGTTCCAAAGTATGGCCATAAACTTCTCTCCATAGAGACTTGCAAGCCAAATTACTGATTTGATTTGTGGAGAGACGATCCCACTCACATGAAGAATATTTTTAAAGATATTTTCGAGGAATAAATAACACTTGTAGTTGAATAAATGCAAGACACATTAGTTCAATACCAAACTGTGGACAATTTAAACCAAAGAATTAACATCTCCATGGAAACAGATTGTGGACCTTCTCCAGAAAAGTCGCACAGTTCATATTTCAGTCCAAAAAGCACATTTAAAACGCAAGATTCTGCAAAATGCTTTAATAACTTGGCAGTCTTGTGGTTATTAGTTACAGAGCTTTCACACTTTTAATGTAATATTTTTTCTGGAAGGTCTAGGGGTAAAATGAATGCGAAATGTATTTCCGAAACCAGGGGGTGGGTGATCACTGTTGAGCTCCATAGTTGTGGGTATTATGGGAGGTTTTTGTAGGCTGTAGTGAAACAAAGTCTGTACTTGTAGTTCCTGCTGCTATTTATTACAACAATGGAGCTCTACAGTGAGCGCCCACCTCTGTGCTTCTGGAAGTTAATTTCCCATTCATTTTTCCCATAGAGTTGAACTTTTGAAAGGTTTATAAACTGCAAGTTATTCAGCATTTGCAGAATCTTGCATTTTAAATGTGCTTTTGGCTCTTAACTTTTTCCCCCATGAAGACGACATTTGACGACCCCCTTGTTTCCTTAATGACGTGTTTTGACTCCTCCGCTGTTTCACTAAAGACGAGATTTGACGACCATTAGAAACGGCTCGGTTTTTCACATGTAAACAGAGACTGGGGTAGGTCGGGGCCACTACAACTCATACTAGGCTGACCAATAGGATTCAAGGATATGTTTTTGCCAATTTTTTCAGAAGTTAATTAAAGTAGTGACGATGGTAGCTTCCGGAAAAAACACAACAGGAAACACGTGCAATGGAAAGATCGCGGCGCTGCGGTGCACAGGTTTAGAAATAATGAGGAGCGGGATAAGTTTAGAGAAAGTGACTTTTATAGATTTCAAAGTGATGATGAAGTTGATTATAAAATGGAAAACAGCGACAGCGACGGACTTTCAGAGAGTGAATCTTACGAAGGTGAGAATGCCGCTGATGCGTCTGTGTGGAGTCCTGTGATATCCCAACAAACTATCTGAGACTTTATACTCGATTATGAACCAAAATTGCCCTGAAATCTGGATGTTGCTCAGACTAGTCCTTTAAAATATTTCAGTCTTTTTTTCCAAGATGCGATGTGTAACAGAATCGCTACAGAAATAAACTTTTATGCGGAGCTCTGCTCACGAGAAAGTAACCAAGATGACAAATACTGAACCCCCACTGACAGGGAAGAGATTTATTATTATATTATTATATTATAATGAGCTAAATGAGTTGAATAAGTTAAATGGAAAAAATGAATTAGGTAAAAACAGGTGTACACTTGGCTGTACTGTATCTGGTGATATGAAATCTGTTTAAATACTCTGACAAAGTATATATATGTTTTTTTTTTTATGAATATAGTACTCAGAACATGCATGTATCAGATGCTGAATGTAGTTTTTTGTTTTTCGATTTTGCACCTGACCAGGTAAACTCTCATTTTCAGTGAGCTGTTATAAACCTGTAAATGAGTTGAATCACATTTAAACATTCAGAAATGAAGAGTTCAGAGTCTAAGGTTTCCAGAGATACAAATATGTCTGTGATTCAATTAAGTTCATGAGTGTGAGAATCATTTATAATCACTCTTGGAAGTCTGTTTTCTTTTATGCAGTTATGCTCTAAGTGTAGCCCTAGTCATATATGTATGTGTTGTTCCTAGTAGGCGTCCAGGGGGGAAAGAGTTTAAAAAAAACACCTTATGGATACTGGTTTCTGTTCCATGCCGCTATTTAGACATTGATGTCTAATTGTCGGGAGTAGTGACACTTTACTATTTTTCAAACATTCTGCTTTCTGACATGAATAATCTTAATATGATAGATAGTTTATTATACTTTGCACTCCCATATATCATAAGATGCTTAGGCCGGTGCAAAGAACTTGGTCAGAGAATACGTCGGCCACATAGGACATTTTCCCACTGTCTGATATCCTAACTGGTAGCCGTGGGAAAGAGTCATGCATTTTAATATAATATTATACACTACTGGTCAAAAGCTTTAGGACACCCTATTTTTTCCAGTTATTTATTGCAATAAAGTCATGCAAGTCCAATGAAGAGCTTGAAATGGTACAAAGGGAAGAATTGAACAGACCGAGGTTAAAAAAAAAACTAGTAAAGATACAAATCACAAGTCCAAGCTCTACCAAAACTACCTCAGGAAAAAAGAACAAGATGGTAAAGCTTGAAAACATGAAGTGTCCAGACTTAAAGCCCATGGAGCTGGTCTGGATGAACTGGACAGAAGAGTGAAGCAACCTACAAGTGCCACACATTTATGGAAACTTCTGCAACAGACTTGGGAAGAACTTTCTGAACAATATTTGATTTCTGTTGTAAAGAGATCGAGCCATGAGTGTGTTCAGCTGTTCTATCTGCCAAAGGTGGACACACACATCAATCAAAAGTTTAGAATATGTTTTGGTCAACAGTAACAGTAAAAAAACTGGAAAGAGTGTGATGTTCTACAACTTTTGACTGGTAGTGTATCCAGTGTTGGGGAGTAACAGATTACATGTACTGGAGTTACATAATCAGAGTACAAATTATGAGTAACTGTATTCAGTTACAGTTACTGTTTCAGTGAGTGGTAATTGGATTACAGTTACTTTGTTGAAATAAATGGATTACACAGCAGTATTTTACTGTTTTCACATAATTTTTATTTATTTCTTTTTTTCAGTAATTCCACTCATTGCTGGAAACTAAACCAGGACTAAAACCAGGTCTAAACCAGGTCTAAACCAGATCTAAAATGGATCTAAACCAGGTCTAAACCAGGTCTAAAACCAGGTCTAAAACCAGGACTAAAACCAGGACTAAAACCAGGACTAAAACCAGGACTAAAACCAGGACTAAAACCAGGACTAAACCAGGACTAAACCAGGTCTAAACCAGGTCTAAACTAGATCTAAACCAGGACTAAACCAGGATTTAACAGAAACCTTGCTGCGCGGATGTGTCTCCTCCTCTTCTATCAATAATATTTTTAATACGGTCAAGTATTCGAGTCTTTGCTTCTTTACAGCAAATCAAGTAATCCAAAGTATTCAGATTACGTTACTCACTTTAAATAATTTAATGGATTACATTCCAAACATTTTGGTGTATGTAATCTGTAATCTGTAGGGGAATACATTTTAAAAGTCACCTTCCCAACACTGACTGGTATACAACATAATGTAATATTTGTTGGAATAGTGATACTAAAAAGTGTTGGAAAACCTGTTTGTGTAAATAGAGACATGTCGTAATGAAAGGATGTCTGAATAAGCGGCGAACCCTGTTGGTTTCCACATAGCTGGATAGCCTCAGTCGTGCTTTTAGTTTAAATTTTTCACATTTGGATTTTTAGAAAACTCTATGGGAACATTTTCAAGAAGACTCCCTCACACTGTCTCACTTTTCTTTATTAATACAACGCTCCAGTCCCTCTGACCGTGACAGTCTGCGGGGTCTTTCTCAGTACGTTTTCAGCGAAGTGACGCTCCTCCTACGCACCTGTCGCCCAGTCAGGTGTGCAGACTCCGAGTCTACACAGAAACCAAAAGTCTACGGGAAAAATGAATGGAAAATTTACTCCTGAAACCAAAGTTCACTTCTGAGTGGGCGGGACTGTTACGCTCTATACAATAATGCTTCAAGAATGTTACAGTGCACTAGCATTATAATGGCAATATTCATGGGTTTCTGTTTGCTCATAATAGCTGGACCTTTGCCCTTTTGAAATGCCAAGGCAACTATGCTAGATTTTCATCACTTTTAAACCCATGGATAGTTGCATTTTTGTAGATTAAACAAAACAAACAAGAGAAAATGTTAAACTACTATAAAGGTTAAACTAAAATGCAAAACTACTACTACTATATAAAATTATGAATGTTTATATTTTTAGGTTATGATATTTCTTATGCTGTTTGTTTTATTCTTATCAAGGACGAGTCATCAGTGTTGGGAAGGTGACTTTTAAAATGTATTCCCCTACAGATTACAGATTACATACACCAAAATGTAGTTTGTAACGTAATCCATAAAATTACTTAAAGTGAGTAACGTAATCTGAATACTTTGGATTACTTGATTTGCTGTAGAGAAACAAAGACTTGAATATCGTAACATCAGATGTTTTGTCTGCTAAAAGAAAATAAAAAGCCCAGACTTTACTTAATCAAATTAAAAGTATTTTTGATAGAAGAGGAGGAGACACGGTCCATGCAGCATGATTTAGTCCTGGTTTAGTCCTGGTTTAGACCTGATTTAAGACCTGGTTTAGTCCTGGTTTAGACCTAGTTTAGACCTGGTTTTAGTCCTGGTTTAGACCGACTTTAGACCTGGTTTTAGACATGGTTTGGACCTGGGTTTAGTCCTGGTTTTAGTCCTGGTTTAGTCCTGGTTTAGACCTAGTTTAGACCTAGTTTAGACCTGGTTTTGGTCCTGATTTAGACCTAGATTAGACCTGATTTTAGTCCTGGTTTAGACCTAGTTTAGACCTGGTTTTAGTCCTGGTTTAGACCGACTTTAGACCTGGTTTTAGACATGGTTTGGACCTGGTTTTAGTCCTGGTTTAGTCCTGGTTTAGTCCTGGTTTAGTCCTGGTTTAGTCCTGGTTTAGTCCTGGTTTAGACCTAGTTTAGACCTGGTTTTAGTCCTGGTTTAGACCGACTTTAGACCTGGTTTTAGACATGGTTTGGACCTGGTTTTAGTCCTGGTTTAGTCCTGGTTTAGTCCTGGTTTAGACCTAGTTTAGACCTGGTTTTGGTCCTGGCTTAGACCTAGATTAGACCTGGTTTTAGTTCTGGTTTAGACCTAGTTTAGACCTGGTTTTAGTCCTGGTTTAGACCTAGTTTAGACGTGGTTTTAGACATGGTTTGGACCTGGTTTGGACCTGGTTTAGTCCTTGTTTAGTCCTTGTTTAGACCTGGTTTAGTCCTGGTTTAGTCCTGGTTTAGTGTCCGACAATGAGTGGAATTACAGGAAAAAAAAAAAAAAAAAGGTATAGCCCAAAATGTGAAAACAGGAAAATCCCGCCATGTAATCCATTTATTTCAACAAAGTAACTGTAATCCAATTACCACTCACTGAGACAGTAAGTGTATCTGAATACAGTTACTCATAATTTGTACTCTGATTACATAACTCTGGTACATGTCATCTGTTACTCCCCAACACTGCTAGTCATACCTGAATATCTGAATTAGATATAAAGCTCTAACTCCTAATTCCTCTAACATGTCGTCCTCTGTTGTGTCCAGGTGAAGGAGGAGATGCTGTTTGAAGCTTTGACCACGCGGAAAACCGTCACCGTTGGGGAGAAGCTGATCGTCCCGTACAAACTGGCCGAGGTAAGATGGCACGCAACATTCTTACAGGGACAGTTTATCATGTCATGTCAAAATCTCATTCTCATCTCTTTGTCTTGTTCTTATTGACACAATCTCATGTCTCACCCACACGCCTGTGGTATAATTTGTCTTTACCACAAATACATGACATACCTGATGTGTTTTGGTTGTGGTTCACTCGCTCACTTAAGTTCACGTACCTCAGTTGAACTCTGGGTTTGCATTTAGCCAATCATCATCAGCCTCTGAGCTTTCACGGCTTCTGAGTTTTCACATGAGGTATGTTCTGTTCATATACTGAGAAAGAGACAAACTTGGATGTGTCTCTATCTGCAGGTTAAGGCTTTGGACACACAGGTTCAGTTGTGGTTGTGGCTGAGCTGGAACCGCAACAAGTGATCTGATTTGTGCTGTTTGTGCTCTCTCAAATAACAATACAGTCACAAGTTAACAGCAAAACTACAAAGTATCACCACCTTCTAATCAGCTTATGGCCTGCATACCCATGATCTACTGTATGTTCAAATAGTTGTTCCATATGAACAAAGCATCGCCATAGTCGTGTTAGTCTAGAACATTGCAGGACTGAAATGAACCGCACTGATAAAGCAGCGAGTATAGCCCTGACCTCGTGTCACCCACCTGTGGTTTAAATAGACTGAAAGAACTGAACTGAACCGTCATGTATGAGCCTGAGCTTTCAGGGCTCAAATCTTCTAGTGTAGAAGTCTCCCAATATTTTTCCTCTGGTGAGCTACTTTTACAAAATGAAATACCAGAGAGCTACTAAGTTTAGAGGTCACAAGAAATTGAGTAAATATAAGAGCCACGGTGAGCCTTAAATGAGGTACAGCTAAATACCTATAAAATATAAACCATTTTCCATTTATTAGTGTACAAAGTTAGGCATCAAAATGATACATGCACAATGGTAATAGGCATTTAATTAATCAAATTTTACTTATTTAAGACCATACATGTAATTCCAAAATCCCTTGGCGAGCTACTTGGAACTTGGTACTTGGGGTGGAGAGCGACAGGTTGGAGACCCCTGATCTAGTGTCACATTATCTGGTGTCATGTTGCTGTTTTGTCAGTTTCAAAGATGGAATAAAGTTGGAAGTTTTCCTAAAAACTAAACACTGTAAATATGGCTGTAGGTCTTTAGTTGTTTGGTCGATTAATTGGTTTATGGAGTCTTAGTTGACCAAAATGTGTATTAGACCAATTAGATGTGTGTTAGCCAATAGTTTGATTTGGATTTTAAGTATTTTCATGGGACAACAGGAGAAAGGAGAAGTGAGTGAATGAGTTAGCTGACGATTTGGTATTTTTGGTATTTTTGGTATTTATATATAAAAAGTCAGATTAAACTTTCAAATGATATCTGTCTTTATATAAATACATAGTTTCCTAAGACCTTTTCCTGCGTAAGAGATACATAATAGCTTTGATCAGGGACTTGTCCTTAGTTGACCAAGAGTTTCTTTTAGCCCTACTCTGTAATCAATATTTCTTTGTGCAAGTATGCTGTTGCTTCACTCTAGTTTGCATAGCTGGGCAGATAGCATCAGTGGCCTTAGATAACGGCCTGAGTCTTTCCTTATGGCTGTGAGTTGGCATCGGCGTCGTATACGCAGAGCGGTGTGAGGCTGTGTGTCCGCTCGCCCAGTGCCCAGTGTTTACAGGGGGACACGGTTCAGCTGTGGCTCCTCCGGCTGCACTGCTGTGTCACACATGAACACACCACCTCACGTGAGTGTGGCTCTGAGCGGCCCCCACGCACAAAACAAACACACCTCACACACCAGGCAGCTGCAGCACAGGATAACAGAGTCGGGTAGTACTCGGCTTCAAATGGCCTCACTGTGGAGGGTTGGGATTCAGTAAATGTTGCACAGTTTAGGGGATTGTGATTATTGTGATGTTAAAATGACACTATGCATGTTTTTATTTTACATTTCACAGACTTGGCTGCTCTGTGTCTCCAGATATAGATAAACACGCTCAAGTCAAAAATAGCTCTTACTGATAACTATTGTAATGCGGATGTATTCTTAATTACAAAAACATTAGAGATAATGACCAAGTTATGTTTTGGTTTTCAAGATGATTATTCAGTCAGAAAGCAGAAAGAGCCTCACATGAGTCTCTCATTTGGGTTGCCAGTTTCAAGGCTGAAAACCAGTTGTTTTAGACTTAAAATGACTCTCTCCTCAAAATCATGTTTGAATGACTTTGACCGGGGTCTAGTCGTGTCTTTCTGTGGTGCACACTATGGTTTGAGTGTGTCTGGAGTCGTATGTGCTCCACACGACTGATGCAGCAGTGACTGTCATCATCTACTGGTGACTGGGAGTGACTAAACCCCACTGAAAATCAGGAAAATCACCCAAAAATGGTGTAGCGTGTCCCCAAATTTAGAGGACTGCAATCAGCTGCTTTGATAAAACAGCAAGCACACAGTGAGTGTCATCTGCTCACATCATGAGTGTGTACTGTAGCTCACACACGCACATCAGTGTGTGTAGCAGCTTTTCACATGCACACACTGACTGTGTGTCAGTCTCTCTGGGTGGTCGCTCACTCTAAATATTGCTCCAACAGTTACAACAGATCTGCTCACTTCAATCAGACGAGTGTGTCATCAGTTTAGTCAGCATTATGAAGCTGTTTCCATGTTTTCACAATTCTCGGAATAATGAATCAGGTTCAATTCCAGCAAACTTTTACATATAATACATGTGACTATTACAGATACATATACTATTACCTGTGGAGTGTGGTCAGGGCAATCAAGGCAAGCGGTGGGGGCCAAATAAAATGTAAAATCATCGTGTGTGAAAAGTATTATTAAATAGTTTAAACTTATATCAAAATAATCCAGTTTTACCTTCACTTCTGTCTGTTTGCAACATGGTTGTAGTCACTGTGTCGTTTACTGCACTCTTCTGGTCACTGAGCAAACTGCAACAACCGCAGTTCCGAATGTCAGATTAATTTGGGTTTTTTTGCACTTCTACGGAAGCCTGGAGGCACATATTGAGAGTGCTGCTTCCTACATGCGCTCTTAGAACTGGAGAGGCCAGCCGGCCAGCACTGAATAAACCCATATTATCATTCACGCAACTGGAGATGTGCGGCGATTTCACATGAGTGCACATGTGCAGCAGAGAACGACAACAGCATCGCTAAGTTTCAACACAAGTGTCAAAAATAACCCGCTTTCAGCGACAAGTCATTGTTTGTAGTTTCAGGTTTGTAATGATTAGATGTTAGTTAGAAATACAGGCCGTCATATAATGAAACAGTGAGCTCGTGTTAAGGCGAGTTTGTGTGAAATGGAGGATCCAGATGGAGCAGTGGAGGTAGAGAGGCTGGAGCAGTGAGGAGTCCGCCTCGACTGTGTGTTTATGTAGGAGCAACAGTGTGAGTGGAATAACAGCACTTTTACACATGTGTGGAGGAACATGTGTGTGCTCTGGACCTGCTCCGCTTCAGGGAAATACCAGACGCTTCTTCAGGAAACACGTAGTTCTGCATTTGTGCTGTGAGAGATGAATGATAACACACTGTTCTAACGCAGGGCTGTGTTTAAGAGGACGTTTGTCTGACCAGTGCACCTGTCTGACCAGTGCACCTGTCTGACCAGTGCACTGTTGTTGTTTGTTTCTTGTCATGATCTTCATGATGTCCATGTTGTGTAGTAAGTGTATTCCACATGTGTAGAGCTGTCATGTGTCACTCATATAGTTTCTAGATGCATTATAATAAATACAGAGATACGATCCGTCCTGAAGGCTCAGCTGCATAAATAAGGTGCAGGAGTAGAAACAAATAGCCCTGTTTGTACAAAGAGGGTGTCAAATACCGTCCAATATACAATTCACTTCAAAAGGTTTATTGTCAGTTTTCATACAAAACATATGAAGAATCAAAACTGTGTTTCTCACTCCCAAGCGTATAAATAAAAATAAAGGGAAAAGTCCAGAGTTCTTCTTTGGGGAGATGCAGATTCCTCCTTCCTGGTCGCCTGGTGGTTATAGAGAAGAGAGAAGTCGGCATCCTAACAGCCTAGTGGATGAAGCTGTTAGTGAGTCTGGTGATTGTGCGCGGAGTACTTACAGTTGTGATGGCTTTGTGGGTGAGGCGGGTGGTGTGTATGCGGGTGAGGCGGGTGGTGTGTATGCGGGTGGGGCGGGTGGTGTGTATGCGGGTGGGCGGGTGGTGTGTTATGCGGGTGGGGCGGGTGGTGTGTATGCGGGTGGGGCGGGTGGTGTGTATGCGGGTGGGGCGGGTGGTGTGTATGCGGGTGGCGGCGGGTGGGTGTTATGCGGGTGGGCGGGTGGTGTGTATGCGGGTGGGGCGGGTGGTGTGTATGCGGGTGGGGCGGGTGGTGTGTATGCGGGTGGGCGGGTGGTGTGTATGCGGGTGGGGGGTGGTGTGTATGCGGGTGAGGCGGGTGGTGTGTATGCGGGTGGGGCGGTGGTGTGTATGCGGGTGAGGCGGGTGGTGTGTATGCGGGTGGGGCGGGTGGTGTGTATGCGGGTGAGGCGGGTGGAGTATATGCGGGTGGGGCGGGTGGTGTATATGTCTCGCAGGGAGGGAAGTGGTGCATCAATGTTCTTCCTGGCTGTGTTCACTGTGCTATATACAAATATGAATAAACTGTATGGTCTCGGTCTCTCTAATTTGACTCCAGAATGACTCAGTATACATGCAATTAATGTGTGTAAAAATAAATATACTCATTTGCAATGTAGAGTAATTTGCATAAAAAGTGGCACATTCAATTATTATCGATTTAAATATTGATTTCAACCCCGGGTCTACGTGCCTACCCGTAAAAGTCACCACTCGCTACTGACTTTGACATACATATAAGACACTTTTACATATATATCTATAATCTAAAATAAAACACACTCAGCAGTGACTTTAAATGAGGCTTCAACCTCAAGTAAATTTTGTCTGCACCCTTTGGATTATTCATAATTTAG